CATGTATGTCTTTACCTTCACATAGTAAAAATGACACAATGTGTACACAAAAGAGATGTATTATCATGCTTAGTAAACTCCTTAGACCAAAGTACAAAATGCATGCTTTTTACATACATACATACATACATACATACATACATACATACATACATACATACATACATGTTATAAAACAAATACTAGAAATATATAGAAACCATGACTCAGACACATTATCTCATTCACAGACTGCATGTCATATAACACAAGATGTATAAAATGCACGTGGTAATTTATTAACAAGGAAGCAAACATCTATAAATAGGTACATTTTTCTAATCTGACTCAGAAAACATGTTGCCTTTACCCAGTTTACATCTGAGTTTTGACACAAGTTAAAGATGAAAATGCTGAATATATTCAAGCAGAGGCTGGAAGAATACTGAAGGGTGAGATTTACAGTATTCCTGCAACTAAATATTAGTAAAGGTTCATTACATACTTAGTATCATAAGTCCTGGTTGAAGTGGGGAGGTGTCCGAATTTAATCCAGCATTCTATGCCCCATCGTGTAATGCATTAAGAAAACCCAAAAGAAGAGCATCAAAAGAGATAGTCCTCTTCGATTCGTCCTCTCTTACAACTACAATTAAATAGGAAATATATAACTAATAAAGCTGCATTCATTGATAGTTCTATCATTCATGAATATTTTAACCCTCTTTTAAAACCATCTAATTGGTACTGTCATGGCACATAGTAGCAACAAATCCAATAATTTAACTGTGTTACATTAACTGTGTCAGAGATGTTTTTGTCTATCCCAAATCTCTTAATATCTAAGTTTCAATAGCTGATTCCACCTCTAGACCAGGTGCAAATTTAAATAGTCAGAGCCACAAAAGTCCTTCACCTTCATTCAACGTTATCATCATCCCCTGAGAGTATGGGTAACTGATCAGCTGTTTGATCTATTGATCACTAGATGGCAGCAAAGATTTTAGTTGTTATCTTTACTGCCATCTGGTGGTCCTGCAAAAAAGGCTACTGGATAAATGCTGCTGAAGAGCTGGAGTCTTCATGATTTCATTGGGAATAACAACCATTAGGAAGAGAATTTTCTTGCCAGGCAGGCTACAGGTTTGGCATCTTCTAGATCCATCTATCTATCACTTGTCCTGAGTACTGTTTATACTCTGAAAAC